GCGCGGCGGGACAGACAAGGCCCCCTGAAGATGCAACACCACTTTGTCCCACATCCTTCTGGGCTCGCGCTCTTTCCCGCCCCCTGTCCCCGCTCCCCTGCCCTCTTCTGAGGTTCGGGGGGGAAGCAGGGGCTGCCCCCGTGGAGAGCCCGTCTGGAGGAGAGGCCGACCCCGTGGCGGTGGCACACCGTTCGTCACCTGCAGTCCACCCGCATAGAACGGATGGGTACCCTCGCATCCTTGCCTCCTCGGCCCGTCCTTGGCCACTTCCGTTGGCCGCGCCCTGCTTGAAAAGCTTCGACATAGGCGTCTAAGGCCCTTGCATCCTTATCGCGCATCCTTATGATACGGACCGGCTAAACTTCGGCGGCAAGCGAGGGGGGGGGGGAACTGAGAAGGAGAAGGGTTTCTCAGAAGGCAGCGGGACTTCTCAGAAGCCCTCGCGCCTTCTGGGAGGCTTTCTGTGTCTTCAGGGAAAGCGTAGCAAAACTTCTCGGAAGGCTGGGGGACTTCCGAGCCTTCTGAGGAGGCCTTCTCCTTCTCACTTCCTCCCCTTGCTCGCCGTCGACTAGTGCTGGACACGCCATCATCTGCCTAAGCCAGCCAGATACAGTCCAGACGATTTCCTCGCACTGCAAGGTATGTGCGGTACAGGCTCACTGAAGCGTGATCACAGCTTTGGGAGTTAAGTATAAACCATTGTAGGCACGCTCAGGCGATTCGCGCATCGCTGGATCGATTCCCAAGTCATGGGGCTTCCCCGAGCTGCTCTGCACTTTCTTGCAGAGCGGTGCCCAACGTCACCACATTGTTGACACACGAGCGAGGACGGCACGAGACAGTGCAGAGCATTGGGAAACGCTCATGGGCTTGGTGTTGCTATGCCAAGAACATCCTGGCGCCCTCCACACACGTGTTCGAGCAAACCCTACAGCATCCACACACCCGTGCCTCTGGCGAAAGCGGTCTAGCAGCCTCAGCGCGTGGCCCCATGCAACGCTTCGGCCCGCTCTGCGAGGCCAAGGAGGGCAGAGGCAGGGTCCTGTTGCATCTTCGGGGGGCCACGCCTGTCCCCCAAATTGGTGTCTTTTCTTGTGCCCGACGCGGGCTCGATGCAGCTTCGACGCGGATTCGGTGAGTCCGACATGGGTTCGACACGGATTCGACGCGGCCAGGGGCGCGCGATTGGACAGACAAGGCCCCCCCAAAGAGGCAGCATAGAAACAGGGAGGAGCCTCCTCCCTCCCGCGGCATCCCCTGCGTGCGCGCATCCACCCCGCCTCCGTTCCAGGAGCGCTCCGCCGAGCGCCGCGGCCGCCCACGCCCGCCGCTGGTGTCAGAAGCGGCGCTCGCTCCAGGCTCGGTGGGCGGACGGGGGAGGCTCTAGGGGCCCTTTTTTTGAGCCAGCCGGTGCCCCGAAGGGGCCCTATGGCGGGCCCCTTCGGGGCCTTTCCCTCCACCCCCCCAATTCGGGTCACCCCCCAAATGGCCACCCGCCCGACCTGGGAGCAGCTCGGGGCTGCGGGAGCGGCGGCGGCAGCGGCGGTGGCAGCGCCGGCGACGGCGACGGCGGCCCCGACCACCGGCGGCGGCTCTGCCCTGGGCGCGCGAGGGGTGCCCGGGGGCGGCCGGCCGGCGGCAGGACGAGGACTTCGAGGCCCCGGGCTCGGCGGCCGCGGGCCTGCCGAGCGAGGCACGCCGCGCGCCCGCCGCGGGCCCCGCGCCGCCCTCCGCCGCGTGCTGGGAGCCCGGGCGGGAGGAGCAGGGGCAGGAGGTGGGGTAGCATGCAGGATGGCGTGGAAGAGGAGGCGGCGGAGGAGGAGGAGGAGGAGGAGGCGGCGCAGGAGGAGGAGGAGGAGGAGGAGGAGGCGGCGGCGGCGGCGGCGGCGGCGGCGGCGGCGGAGGAGGAGGAGGAGGAGGAGGAGGAGGAGGAGCCGTGGGGGATCAGCAGGAGCAGGTCGGGGGGCCCGCGCGGGGGCGGGAGCATGGTGCACGCGCAGCAGGCGCAGGAGCAGGGTGGGGAACAGCGCAGGATCTCTGCCACTGGCTCGCCATGCGGAGCCTCCGCAGAGCTGCTTCAGATGCTGGGAGACCCGCGCGGACAGGCTCGGCGTAGTTTGGGCATCCAGCGCCCCCGCAAGGAGCTATCGGGGGACACGCGACACGTGAATGCGGAGCAACGAGATGATCTCAGGTGAGAGAGGTCGCAAACTCGGGGCACCTTGCGAACGTCCTCCACCTGCTCCTCCTTCTCCCTCTCTTTCCCAGGGGTTGGCGGTCACACACCGCAGCCAATCGGTTCAAGCATCTACATGGTCGACCCTCCATAAGTAGAAGAAGTTCCCCGACAGAAGAGACTCAGGCATTGAGAGAATCCCGACATAATGCTCAACACGCCTCGCGATTCCAGCTGGCCTGGCGTTGCTCCCAGGGGCCGCAGCGCGGAGCGGCGGTGTGCCAGCTGTGGGAGCGCTGACATGCCGTGGGCGACCGTTGAAGCTTGCCACATGACGCAGCGGAAGGGCAGCCACTCCTCCAACCGCGGGCGCAAGAATTCGAAGAGGCGGCGTTGCCCCGAGATCGTCTACCACCTGCCCGGTGAGATGGGCGACCACTTGCCCCGTGCACCTTCAAACGGCGCTGACTCTCCAGCCGTGAGGCGGAGGCGCAGCAACAGCGCCCGTCGCAAGCGGAGCGCATTGCGCAGCCGATCGGCCTCCACGGACAGCTCGGTCGGCGGCGACGCCTGGGCAGCCAGCACCGGCCTCGACGGGGATGCGCCAGATGCTGGTCCTGGGCCCGGGTGGCGGCCTGGACAGCTGCGCCAGGCGCGATCCCGCGAGCCGAGCGCGGACAACCATGGTGGTGCTGCGCGCGTGGGCCCCGCCTTCGCGGCGGGCCCTCGCTTGATGGAGTCGCTCGCGCACTCGGAGCTCGGCATCGGCCCGCAGTCGCAGATGAACCAGCAGATCCTGGACGAGGAGGGCAGCAGCGAGTCGGATGGAGCAGCAGCATGGTCCGACGACAGTGACGTCTCCGAAAGCGAGTTCGCAGACACCTTGCTTGATCCCGCAGCTGCCACGGATGTAGGAGGGAAGCGCCACGACCTGCTCTGCACCATCAAGGAGTCTGCCACCGCCTCGGTATTGAAGCCTCAGAAGCAAGGAGCCATGCACATCGTCTTTCTACTGGATGCTAGCAAGAGCATGGCCAACATGGATGTCGAGGATGTGGTGTACGTTCCGGAGCTGAAGTCCACGCAGCCCAAGCAGATCGCTCGGGTGGATGCTACCTTCAATGCGTGCCGCTCGTTCCTGGCTGTACACCGGGACCCATTGGGAACGGATTTGTTCAGCTTGATCATGTTCGGCGCAAAGGCGCACGTGGTTTTCGGCAGGTTATCCAAGCGTGAGGCGGACACAAAGCTCAAGCGTGCACACGAGAAGGTCCATCTCGCCTCAGGGGGGAAATTCCTCACAGCATTCAATGCGCTGCACAAGCTGATGGGTTCCCAATCCAACTCCGAAGACATCCGCGTGTTGCTGCTCTCTGATGGGCGTGCGTACGAGAAGAATCGTGTGCCACAGTTGTTCCAGACCTCCCTCTTCGACACGGACAGGCTAAGATCCGCCTGCAGCTTCATGATGCACTGCGTCGCCTTCGGTCATGAGGACTGCGCCGATAGTACGATGAGACCGATCGCAGAACTTACTGGAGGCACGTACCAGGTCAGCTCTTTGAATCAAGTGAAGCTGCGGGCGGCCTTCGAGTCAGTTTCTGCATCCATCACAGTGGACCGGGATGCCAGACCACACGTTGGTCCCAGTGCTCCGCTTGCAGCTGCCTTGGACATACAGTTCGACCCATTGTGGTTCAAACCAGGGGATTGTGAGAGGGTTTGCACGACATTGCGGCACAAGTACCTTTGCGGGAAGTGGGTGGACAAACTCGTAATTGTTAACAAGCGCTCAACTGTACTAGTAGAACGCAGGCCCTTTGCCTACGGTGGGATGCGAGTGGTTTACAACATGAAAGATACCTCCGACAAGGTGAAGGACACCAGCTTCGTGGCTAAACGTCTCATCAAGCAGCCACATGCCAACAAGGAGGACATCCTGCCGTTCTGCCGGTGCTCGTCCGCAGCTGTGTGGTTCAAGAACCGTTTCTTAAAATGGATGAGCAAGGCTGAGAATCGGAAGTGGCACTGCTACCCCCACTCCCGCCCGCCTCTGGCCAGTCGTCCACGGGAATCGCAGGACCAAGGTTTTTCGGGAGGGGATGTTCGAGGCCCCGGGAGTCAGAAGGTCTCGCCCACACTCGCAGCTCAGGGGTCCTGTCCTCGAGCGGCCAGGGTTGCCGGGACTGGTGGCGGGTGTGGCATTCCTGGTTCTCGGAGGCGGGCCTCCCGCCGATCGACATGAAGTTCTTGCTGTGCCACCTGTACGAGTACCAGCGCATCGAAGGAGGCCTGGCATACTTCCTGGCCGAGCGCAAACTCGACGGTACGTTCGTGAAGTATAACGGCAACAACGGATACGTGAATACTGGCGCACACGGCAGTGACATCATGCAGGCATTCAGTCACTTCACGTTCATCCGTTCTCATGGGTGGGGCATGGTGGTTGACGTGCAGGGTGTCGTCGATAACCAGACATACTTCCTGACAGATCCGCAGATTCTCTCCGAGGGCGACGACTCGTTTGGGCGGGGCAATCTCGGCATCAAGGGGGTCCGCAGGTTCTTCGAGCGGCACGTCTGCGGGCCAACATGTCGCGCGCTGAATCTCCCAGGCAAGGAGCACAAGTACCTGATGTGAGCTACATTCGCCGCCACTCGTGCGCCTCTTATCATGTCATCCAGTGCTCTCGCCAAGTCTATCTACCGGCCAAGTGCTCTGACATCCCGACCAAGTGCGCTGGCACGCGCTGTAGCACACACTGCTCCAGCGGGTCATGTTTGAATGTTCATCGGAACTGATTCGCTTGACGCAAGATGGAAGCTCCACACACACGCGCCCCCGCCCCTCCCTGGCCTCCAGATGTCCAGGGCGCTAGCCGCTAGCCGAGCCCGCCGCCTTGGCGAGCCCTCACCCTCCTCCGAGACCCGCCGTGCCGCAGCCTTCAGCTGCCGCCTGGCCCCCTGGGCCCCGTGGCCACACGTCGTCGCCGCCGTGGCCAGACTCGCCGACTATAGCGGCGGCCACGGCGGCGACGATGGTCGTGACGACGGCGACAGCGAGGGTCGCAGTGATGACGCCGGTGGAAGCGGCGACGACCACGGCGATCGCGGCCATGACCGCGACGACGGCCGAGCCCACAGAGGACGGCGGCGCCGGTGGCGGCAGTCGGCGAAGGGGGGTCCTCGCGCAGGGGGGAGGGCGGCCGAGAGGGGCGGCCGCTCGGCAGCGGCGCGCGCGGAGGCCGAAGGCGACATGGAGCCTGGCGTCGCTTGCGCGCTGAAGAAGTACAGCTGGCCGCCCCCGTTTGTCCCGGCCCCCGCCAGTCGGCATCGTCTGGCAAGTCCCCATTCCACTGGGCCACCTGCGTCTCGGGCCTCGCGAAAGCCGAGCAGCATCTATACCCGCAGTCGGCCAGTGGGGCCAAGGCCATGGCAGTGGGGATTGGGACCAGATAAGCGATGCTCGGCCGGGGATCGAGCCTCGAGTCTTCTGGACCTTCTATGGCTCTCGTGGGCCACCTTGTGGCCTCGAGGGGTCCACGGATGGGTCCGCCTCGAGGGTATGTCAGAGCGCGCCCCGGAACGTGGGGGGACTGTGCTCCAGAGGAACAGGATAACGTCAGTGATTCATCTTTTGTGGCGGAGGCCCAGGCCGTTGAGGGTCCTTTTCGGGCCCTGGGATCTTCAGAAAGCGACGCGGGATGAAACATCGGCCTTGGGGAGAAGGTGACGGGGTCGACAGGTCCAGGGGCCGGCGACTCGAAGAACCCAGCCCGCTGAATGTCTTGGGGAGGGATGGGTCACCCACAGGCGGCTCGGAGGTAAACAATCGCGCTCGGCGCTTCGCGGCGTGGCTGGGCTTGGCATCGCTCGGACGTGTGCATTTTTCCTTCGGCGAGGTTCATCGAGGAGCATCCTTGATCATTTGGCGAAAAAACCACGCACGAAACCGAAACAAGCACAGGGAATGGACGTCCGAGCGATGGCGAGTGGGAGAGCTGTTCAATTCCGCGCGGCGCGATGGTGAGAAGATGGCGGGGGGTTCGCGCCATCGCGCGGCACGAGGCGCGAAGCTGGGAGGTCCAGATCTGGGCCCCGAATTGGGACCGAAGTTGAGGTGCAGCTCTCGATCGTTCTCCCTGTCCTCCTTGTCCTCGTCATCGTCGTCCTCGACATCCTCCTCCTTCTCCTTCCTGCCTCCTCCTTGCCGCCCGTCTCCTCCATCCCCCAGCCACCTCCTCCTCCTGCTCTCTCTCCGTCCTTCTTCGTCGTTTCCCCTACCGTTTCCCTCCCTTCCTCCCGCTGCGCTGCCCCTTCCCCTCCTGCCTTTCCCGCTCTCCCTCCCTCCCCTCCCTCCTCCCCCAGATCTCCGACGTCGTATTTTTTCGCAACGTGAACCCCCAGAGGTCTAGGACCCCTCCACGGGGACCGGTTTTTAATCCCGAGTTGTGTTTGACGGTCCTGGGGCCCGGTGAAGGTCCTTGGAGGCCGAGAATCGCCAAAACAACCCGTCGCGATTTGTTCACAGCGGAGGTGGGGGTGATTGATCATTCTTCCTCTGGCAGTTCCGAGCTCCCCTGCGGCATGGGGGCGGTCAGCTCCACGACCGCAATGCCAATTGAGAGAGCTCCGATTGACCTTCAGATGCAAGGTAAACCACTCGAAGCTCTAACACGAGATCCTCCCAGAATCAGAAGGAGGTTGCTGTTAAGACGCACTCGCCGCCGCTATCCCCGCCGCCGTCGCCAAAGACGCCCCTCGGCCGCGGAGGTCCTCCGTGGGCTCGCAGTTTGTCCCCGGCTACGGGTCCACCAGCCGCGACGACGACCTGTGGCAGGGGGGGGGGGGCGGCGGGGGCGCCGCCTGTCGGGTCGGAGGCGGCTGCCAGCGAGGAGGGTGGGGGGGAGCGGAGGGGGGGGAGGGGGGGGAAGTATTCGGAGGAGGAGGAGGAAGGGAGGAAGGGAGGAGGAGGAGAAGGAGGAGGAGGAGGAGGAAGGGAGAAAGGGAGGAGGAGGAGGAGGAGGAGGAGGAGGAGGAGGAGGAGGAGGAAGGGAGGAGGAGGAGGAGGAGGACCAGTGTAAATCCAAGGGTAATCAACGATGTTGGAATAAGTCCTCCCTCCAAGCTCCCTCTTCATAGGCCCCTACAAGGGTGCATTTCCACTGAGGAAACTGCCTTGTTGGCTCAAGTAACCGTTTTGGCTCAAGTAACCGCTTGGCGCCAGCTAGACTTGCGGGCTGTGCGGATACGCAGGCATACGACGATGAGCGCAAACAGTGACAGAAAGAAGGGTGCTCGGGCTAGAGGCACAACCGGCTCAACACCAGAGAAACAGAAATCCAAACTCACACGTGCTTTTCAGGATGTGGGCATGACGAGTGACGAGAGCGAGAACACCAGAGAGTTGATGCAGCTGGCTCCAGATTCACCTCCGGAGTGTTTCGTTACTACCGCGAAGGGGCAAAACAAGAAGTTCGTCAAAATCATCGATAACATGAGCGTGGTGAATACCAATATCGAGGAGATAAAGGAGCAGACCGTGGACATGGATGACCGGCTGAACGATGTGGAGATCGAGTTAGGAAATATCAAAATAGATTTAGAAGATACGGCAATTCAGACAAAACACATGACAAGCATGATGGAGGAGGTAATGGAAAACACGATGAAGGAGGAGGGGATGAAGGACAGCATGAAGAGGATCATGGAGGAGAGGATGAAGCACAACAAAACAGAACAGCAAGGAGGAGGGGCAGGAGCTGTACCCCGGGAGGCTGATGACGGGTTCCGCGCACTTCAGGTCATCGTGGAGTGTCTGATGGAGGAGCAGGACGAGGCAGACACCATCACACATGTGAAGAAGGTAGTGGGCGGGATGGGAGCGGCGGGTAAGTACGAAAGAATTGGCACACTCGTTGGCCCATCATACATTGGAATGGTGCAAGTCCAAACTATGGCGTCAAATATCTGATTTTTACGGAAGGCCAATACGAAAGAAACGAATTGGGACAATGGGGGAGAGATGAGGTTTAAGAGCAACGACACGATCGAAAAGAGATACTATGACAAAGCATTGGGATTTACGAAATACCATCTTCACGAAGACGCAGGGCACCCATAAGTGGGAAAAAGGCTACTGTATCTCAAGGGTAAGCGGGTCGCTTGGATCGGAGCGGACGGGAACATAGAGTTCGACAACAGTTTGACTGCCATCAAGGATAATGTGACCTAGAGCATTTCAGAGTGGAAGGAAAAACGGGGATTCGAGTGACGCAGCCTGCGTCTCTTTCAGATCGCATCAAGCTGCGAGTACCAGTGCAAGGACAGGCACCGCGAAGGATAATCACGTAAACACAGTCTTCAGGTAATTGCGGGTATGGGTGGTGGGAGGGGAGCGTATCAACAACTCTCCAGCGATTTCCCTTGCGCGGCAGTTCGCAATTCAATTGTGCAGTCCAACGCGGAACATCAAATTGATCAGCGACAGTGATATTGGAAAATGCATGGGGGCTCAACGACGACAGGTTTGAAGATCTACTTCACGAGCTTTCGTGGGTGGAACGGGACGTCGCACTCATGAACGAAACGTGGCGGGAGGAACGCAAGGAATATGCATGTCCCTCAGATGGGCACATATTCGCAGCATTCGGCGGTGTGGCGGGCAGCCGTGGGGTTGCCATAAAACGTTGGGCAGGATATGCAGTCGATTTTTCCGCTATCTGCGAACGCGCTGCATATGTTGATGTTGTTGGCCGGGGCCTTAAAGCACGGATCGTTTGCGCATGTGTTCCACATTCTGGCTACGCTGACGCCTACATGCAGGAGCTGTACACGATTTTGGCAGAATTGAGATCAGACGCGCTCAAGCGTAAGTTGCATCTTTTATGCACAAGAGGGGAGTTAGACAGATGGAGACGATGCAAGGGTCGTTGGTCCTTACGGGTTTGGCCAAGCGAGCTCTCGAGGTGAATGGCTGAAAGGTCCGGGCATCTTGTGAAAAATGGTTGTGTCAAACACGTTTTTTTCCAAAACGCCAGAACAGCGCATTGCGTACGTGGGACCAAGAGGAAGACCGGCAGGCGTGGCGACGAGCCGTCAATGCAGAATTAGCAGGCATGTGTCAATCTTGGCTCAGACCCTAATGCTGCGCGTGTGAAGTTTAGCGTTCGTACCCGCAACGGCAAAAATAAAATAATGAAGCCAAGCAGCAAGAAACAGCAGGAACACATCGAGTGGAAGTCTGTCGACACAGTGCTGTACCAACACGAATTACAGACGTCATTGGTCAAGGTGCGTGGCTGCAATGTGAACGCCCAGAACGATCAACTAAAATATCCATCATCCCAAGCCGATTCGACTACAGCGGTTGGGGCGCCAACAAGACACGAGAGAAACATGCCAACGAGCGCAGAGCTGGAAGAACTTCTACATCATCGGCGACTTCTTCGTGGAGATGCTGGCGCACGGTCGCGGGTCAGCAGGGGCATCGTGAGGGAAGTTCGAACACTATATCGGCTGGAATGCAAAACGCGCATATAAGGTATCCTCCAGTCTGGCCAAGGCTTGGAAATAATTTCCAAGTTAAAGAAGAGAGGCAAACGCAACTCGGCTGCCTCGATGGTGGACTCGAGCGGCCAAGCACAGACCAACATATAGACCATTGCTGACGTGTTCGCGGATGTTATACGCGGAATTGCATGACTCGCAACATTGCTTTCGAGGAGACGAAGACTTGCCATGCTTGTTGGATTGTGCCAGGGTGGACCCCATCACCGAGGACGAGATGAAGAACGCCGTGCGGTACTTCAAGCGGGGCAAATGCAAAGGCGACCGCTGGCATCATGGCAGACATGGTGAAAGACGGGGCAGATGCTCTTATCCATGCGCTTCTGGTGATCTACAATGCTATTCTAAAAGATCCAAGCCTGGCGCCGGAGAAATGGAGACAGTCTGTCGTGTCAGTGATACACAACGCAGGTGGCGCGAAGCTCCTTCAAAACTACCGACCAGCAACAATAATCCCAATACTGTACAAACTGTCCGCTCGGCTTATTGCCCGACGGCGTGGTCCTGTTCTGGGGGAGAACAAGCGCCGTGCCAGGTGGGCTTCCGCCGTGACTACAACGCAGTGAACCACGCATGGGCGGCATTCCGAATACAAGAGAAAGCAAGATAATGGAATCTTCCGGCATGGTTCGCGGCGCTGGACTTTAAGACGGCGTTTGATAGCGTCGAGCACAAGGCGCTACGCAGGCAGGTGGTGGACCCCAGGTATATCCGTCTGCTGGCGCACTTGCACTCAGGGCAGACGGCGCGCGCGCACAGACAGGATAAGCAAACCCTTCGACTTGCGACGTGGTACCAAACAGGGGGGCCCTCTCAGTTCGCTGCTCTATAACGCCGTCCTTGAAGACATATTCAGGGAACTGAAGGAGTCTTGGTCGCGCAATGGTTTCGGCCTGTCCACTGGCTACTCAGACGTCGCGCTGCTATCGAATCTCCGTTTTGCCGATGACGTGTGATTGGTGGCACCATCCCATGCGAACCTGAGAGCATTGTTTGGCAGCCTCGTCGACGCAGCTGGAGTGAGGGGTCTGGAGCTCCACCCGGACAAGACGAAGATCCTCTGCAATCACACAAAATGAGCCGGGATACTATCAAGGCAGTTTATGGATGTCAATGGGATGCAGATAAAGATTCTCCCGCACTCTGGCTGCGCCAAATATCTTGGGAGCGGCAGTTTATGGGTGTCAATGGGATGCCGGCGAAGATTCTCCCGCACTCCGGCTGCGGCAAATATCTCGCTCGCAGACTCACTTTCGACGAGCCGGGCGAGACCGAGTTTGACAACATAGTATCCACTGCTTGGCAGAAATTGATGGTATTTAGAGAGGAACTAACATCCAGAGTCTACTCCCTGCACGACCGCCTCGAACTATTTGAAGCAGTTGTCAAGCCCACAGTGTTGTACGGGTCGGCAACGCGGACGATGGCGGCACTCATGGGGCATAAATTGTGGAGATGCCGAAGACGCATGTTTCGCGTGATCCTTGGGCGCCAGAGGCGGCGCATCGAAGCGGATCATCACGCCAATGGTGAACTCGAGCCATGGGTTGACTGGGTGAAGCGCGCGACGCACGAGTCTGAGTCACAAATGGAAGTGTTGCGATTTGACCGCTGGGCGACTGCACAGAAGAAGGCAAATGGTCATGGGCACGAAGAACGCAACAGCTGAGCACTGACAAATGGACGAATATCGCTGCCAAATGGGAGCCGGAGCAAACGGCCAGCTGCTCGAGATCTCAAGGGCGACCGCGACGTCGATGGGCAGACGATATCCAATCTTTTCTTGAAGGGAAAGGGTTACGCGATTCTTGGTCTGATTTTTCTGGTGGGACTTGCTGAACTTCGCCAACGAGTTCGTCGACTTCTGAGGGCTGCGGCCCCGACGCAGCGCTTCTCGCGGGTCGGCCGCCGGCTGGACTGCGTGCTCGTCTCGTCTCGTCTCGTGCGCGGTGCTGGGGCGAGAGCCACATTTTGAAAACGGGTTGCTCTTAATTCGTGAAGCTCTCGCAATTTGTTATAACGAATGTGCGCGGCGCTGAGGCGAGAGCCACATTTGAAAAACGGGTCGCTCTCTTTCATTTTTTAATAAGACGCACACGTTTACCGATGTAAAAGAACAAATGCGCGCGGCGCAACGGCGAGAGCCACATTTTGAAAACGGGTCGTCCTCAATCCGGGAAGCGCTTGCACTTTTTTAGAACCAATGTGCTCGGCGCTAAGGCGAGAGCCACATTTTGAAAGCCACCCGCCCTCAGTCCGTGAAGCAA